CTTCTCTTCTCTCTCTCTCCTCTCTCTCTCTCTCTCTCTCTCTCTCTCTCTCTCTCTCTCTGTCTTTCTCTTTCTCTCGCTGCCTTGGCAGTCAGCCTCCGCGAACGACGTTTTTCTTTTATTTCTCGCTTCATACACCTGCCAGAGAAGCAGCCACGGAGCGATGCGCCGTTGCGTGCCGCGGAATCGTGCGTTACCTCTCGAAAGCGGTTCTCATCCCCGAGTGAATCTTCGATCGTCAAGGCAGCACGTGTCAAATATACTAACCAAGCTCCTGCTAAATTTTAAATATCTGACATATATATGACAGATTATTTAATAATTTCCACACTTGTCCATCGTTTAAGACTGAGCGCAAAAATCCTAAGCGTCACAATGGTTTAATTGAATATTATATTTATTTTAAAAAGAGGAAGTAGAAAATATTTGTAAAATATCTGTTTTATAATTAAATATTATAATTATAATCATTAAGAAATATACAGGGTGTTTACTATTTGGAAAAATATAAAAAAAAATCAGAAAATTCTTAGGGAAATTTTTTTACAATTGCTTTTCCTAATATTTTGTCTTTATTATTATATACGATAGTCAAAAGTTTATTGATTATTCATTGATCTTTTTATGATAACCGTGGACTTATTCATTTTAAATATCAGATTGATTTTACGACTAATCCAATATTTAATATTGAAAATAATGATTTTGCGTTAGATGCAGTTTTGTTTAACCAAGTCGAATATTTATTTTTATTAGTTTTATAATAGTTGAATTTTGTCTCGGTTATGCATTATATAATTTTTTGTTTATAGCTTTTGGAAAATTTTAAAATATATATCTTTTAGAAATTCTTTATAATTTCTTTCAACATTTTTTAAATTTGGTTATTAAAACTCGAGTAATTCTTAATTTTATATTGATTATATGATTTATATGATAAACTTTTTATAAAAGTGGAAAATATTAAGATTTCTATAACAATATATAAACAATATATTTATTCCTAAGATACATTTAAAAATACTTTTATTTTATTTGAAATTTTTAACAAATTGCTATGACAATCAGGAAATTCTCAGGAAATTTTTTTTTTCAGATTTGAGTAAACATCCTGAATGTAGTAATTGTAACTTGCTTGCATATCCTCTCGAGCTACTTGCCATGTCTTCACAATTTATTTCTCAAATTGTCATATGATATTTATTGTTATTGGATATTTTTATTATTGTTATTTGCTATTATTGCATTATTGCATTTATTTTTAGTTGGACGATGCCGAATTATTCCCATAGCATCACAACGCTTTTTGGAAGCCACGATTCCCACGTTAATTATCACTTTTGGGCGCACAAAGCAATTATGAAATTACGATTCAGAGAAGGGCGCAAGACGCGTTGCAATCCACGGCATTATAGTTGGTAACTAAGTCTCAAATGTTTGTTTGGTTTGAGACACTGTTTGGAAGATGACGATGTTGTAGGCTCTCTCGTAGGCTAAGTTCGGCGCAGCCGGGCGACTCGGAAAGACCGCAAAAACTGCTTTTTAGACGTCTCGTCCGAGGCGTTTCTATATTCCCTTGAAACGCTGCGGGAGCTCTGAGTCGGCTATTCGGATAAATATAATTTATATTGCGGGCATTGCGTTTGCCGTGAAACTTTCTGGGATGGCAAACAAGACGGCAGGAAAGGGCAACGTTTCATGGCGTTGAGTTCACAACCCTTTGGGCTGGTGGTTTATGACAATATCCCGCATAATTTCTCGACACCCTCGAAACAATGAACGATTATATCGAATTATATGTTCAACGTTTTATTAAGTATTGCCAATGATGAAACTTATTATATTTTCGATAATATTAAATTGGTCGATTTCATCAAATTTTTGGAAAGAATTTTGCTGAAATATCTAAAAATCTGGCTAGATATAGATAGAAAATAATAATTGGATCGTCAAAATAATTAGAATAATTAAGCATGTTGATATTGCAAGAATTTTTGATATTTTAACAACTAATTTGAACGTTCTACAATTATTTTGATAGTCTAATCAAATTTTTAGAAACTTCAGCAAAACTTTTTTTCTGTATATTTCCACGTCGGTTCACGTTGAACAATAAGAGATTAAATATCTCTATTTCCAGCGATCGAAGAACTGTTGCGGTAGAGTAGTCGACGGGATTCGTTATTTACACCGAATGTTTCTACCGGGTGTTAAATTCACCGAGTCTCGTTTCTCATAATTTGATAACTATGAGACAGCTGACTGTCGTCGGTTCGTTTCGGTCCGTTAATCTCGACGATTGTCGCAGTTCGCGTCGAAGAGACCTCGTCGCGAATCTTACTGCGCCGCAGTCGTTATTAAAGCTCGTATTACTTTGCGTACCATATTTAACGAGCCGTATTACGACGATCGCGAGGCTTCAATTCACGATACGATACTCGCTCTATACACTATTTTGCAAACAATACGTATTAAATTTCGGTCTAATCGCAAGCATAGAGAATAACAAAGGCGGAAACATTAACAACAGACTTGTGTCTTTAAGTAACAATAATTATTAATTATATTGACTTAAACTAAATAATAAAATTGATAAAACAAACGAGATAAAATAATCCTTAAGGTGACGTTTTCTTATAAAATTAAATCACATCACAACGACGTAACTTGTGACTTTCCTGTAATATCCTATAACCGGAGGATAAGTCACAGAGTTCAAGTGCAAGAGTGTCCGAAAATAGCATCCACCCTACCGAAAATTCTTCCAGTGTTCGTTTTTAATTTGAAAAAAATTCGTCGACCGGATCCTTGGCTCCTTTTCTACGCAAAATCGATCAATCGAAATTTTATCGAACACGCAACGCGCAATAGTAACATACATAAACAGAGATAAAAGGCGGCCGGAGAGATAAGCGTTTCATTGTCCGTGTTTCGTGTTTCATAATCCGCCGAGCAAACGGTCGATTTTCGAGAACGATTCCGCGCTGCATCTCGGCGAGATGCAACTCGAAGAATCTATCGGCGCGAAGATAAACGTTCGCGCCGGCGCGAGAAAATAATCTGATTTGAAATTACACGTGATACGACCGAAAAACAACACACACACACACAGTGCCGAAACCTAACGGATCTAAAATTAGTCAAGCGCACTCGTGTGACTCACGAGTAAATCTACCTGGGGGTACCTAGTCTGTTTCAGGAAGTAGCGGGGCCCGATAAAATATAGTTTAACAAACATACGCGTGTGATTCACGCTATAGCAAAACGCCCCGACCGTTCGAAAAGTCGGACTTCGCGCGGACTCCGTCGTTGCCTCTAACTTCGCGTTTCGCAGTTATCGCAAATATTCTTTATCGTCGCTTATTTTATATTTCGTATTTCGTATCTGTAAAGAGGTATTACTTGATTTCGCGTCCTTTTCTCGCCGGCGCGCACAACTCGCGCGCAATTTCCTGTACGAAATAAGGTCGGCTTCCGCGAACGAAATATTTCGAGCGAGAACCCCATTGAGTATCCCCGTAACGTCGCGTCTTCGCGATCGCGAGATATCATTCTACCGCGAAGGTTGCCGCGAACGTTCAACATTCCGGCCAGGATCCGCCGAACTCCAGGCCGGCGCCATTTTCGAAACTCTCCTTCCTCAGAGCGAGAGTTTAAGCGAACAACCATAAACGAGAGCTCCAGACACAACACTCGTGACTTAGGTCCTTCTCTCTTTTTCTTTCTCCGACTATTGCCGTC